GAAGTCACTGGTTTTATCACCAGAACAGGGTTATTTTGGTTCATGTGGTAAGCGTAAATATTCAAGGAAGGGAAAACCCACTTTTCCTTCCACCAACCCATTTGTTAAGCAAAGTTTTGATGACTCAGGGCATGCATGAGCAATGAAATAGAGGCCCTTTTCATCACTTGACTGCCTGTTGGTTCTACATCATCTTGGTTATTGACTGTTTTTAACTCTCTGAAGACAGTTTGGAAATGAAATAACTTCTATTTCTGGGGAACATTATAACCACGGATGTATCATAATGACTGGCATCAGAGGACATGAGCCAGAGTTTGCATTTTGGATGTTATAGATGTGGAACAACTGATTCTTTAAAACATGGAAAAGAACCATGTGTGAGCACAACCATGTTGTGGGAAATGCTCTCCTGCTATCCCCACATCTTCCTTTGAAGCAGATCAAGGGCTCTTCCAGACAGGCCCTATAGCCTAGGATCTGATCCCAGGTTCTGCTATAAACTGGATTATATGAGTCCTCACTGTCAGATAATCTGGGATAAACAGAAAACCTGGGATCAAATCCTGGAATATAGGGTCTGGGATATAGGGGGCATGGGAACATCCAGTGGAATTTTTTTAAAAAACTTTCCAAGATGCGCTGGACTTCATATGCACACATGTGAATATCTTAATGTACATACAAGCAGATTTCTTATTCTCTTTTCTCATCCAACTCTAAATTTAATCTCTGTTTATAAAGATCAAAAGAAAGGAATGGTTTCAGAGAGTTCTAATTGCTTTCTAATTGTGCTTCCCTTGAGCCCCTGTGTGTCCGTGGCTCCATGTTTTGACAACCCAAGCAACTGATCCCCTGTTTCAGGCTTTTAAAACTCGTATGTGCACTGGAGCAGTCCACACATAGGAAAGGGAAGTGTTTTGCATGACTGCAGAATATCCAGTCATAAAAAGGTGCAGATTTTTTGGACAGAATCGGGTTTAAGTGTACCCTTTTAATATGTGCTTTTCAGCTGTTAACCTGATTCTGCCTGCACTCATTTATCCCCCCCCCCCTTTTTATCCTGGTTACTTCTGGGTTTTTAGTCACGTGTAGAAGTTTCCTCCCTCACCAGCAATCCCCAGCATGTAAAGAAAGATTTATAAGTATAGCTATCAAAATGAAAATGACATGATAAGTGGAGACTGGTGAGTGTGTTTTGGAAGAAACTTACTAGTAATTTTTAAAGAATTAAAAATGTTTTTGCTTATTTTTACAAGGCTTGCCTGACATGCTGGTTTCATTTCATATGTGCATACTGAAACATGTTATTCTTTTTTATAGTGTAGGAAAGTACCCCTATTTTTCCATGTTATTTCTGTCTCTGTTTCTGAATTTTCTGCTAATGTAACATCCATGAACACATCTATGTCATTAACTCGGGTATAATTGTACCTTAGCTGCACTTGCAACAGTGCTTCAAGTGTAGAATACTCTCCTATACCATCTGCAAAAATAACAGGTTGTAAAATAATTTCCCTGTGATATAAGTCTTTCTGATAAAAAAATATATAGTTAAAAAATTTCTGACAGGTTGAACATACCTTAACCAAAATTCCAAAATCCTCTAAAATCCGAAATTTTCCAAATTGGTGCAAAGATAGTGACTTTTTTTTCTTTCTGATGGTTCAATGTATACAAACTTTTTTTCATTAACAAAATAATTTAAAATATTGCAGGAAATTACCTTCAGGCTATGTGTATAAGGTGTATATGAAACAAAATTATGTTTAGAATTTGCTGCCATCACCAAGATATCTATCTATCTGTCTATCTGTCTATCTGTCTATCTGTCTATCTGTCTATCTGTCTATCTGTCTATCTATAATGTATATGCAAATAAAAGTATTCCAATACCTTAAAAATCTGAAATCCAAAACATAATGGAAACTGCTGTACCAGCTTAGAAGATAGATAATGAATCATGAACTCCTAGATCAGGGGTCCTCAAACTAAGGCCCGGGGGGCAGATGAGGCCCTCCAAGGTCATTTACCCGGCCCTCGCTCAGAGTCAGCCTAAGTCTGAAATGACTTGAAACCACACAACAACAACAACAACAATCCTATCTCATCAGCCAAAGGTAGGCCCACACTTCCCATTGAAATACTAATAATTTTATATTTGTTAAAATTGTTCTTCAGGCACATTGAGTCGCCTGTTAAGGGCTGAAAAATGCGGTATAGAAATAAAGCAAAATAAATAAATAAATAAATAAATTGTTATATTGTTTTTAAGTGGGTTTTTTTTTTGCACTACAAATAAGATATATGCAGTGTGCATAGGAATTCATTCATGTTTTTTCAGATTATAATCTGGCCCTCCAACAGTTTGAGGGACTGTGACCTGGCCCTCTGTTTAAAAAGTTTGAGGACCCCTGTCCTAGATGGATAGTCTCTTCATTATAACATCCTGGCTGAGTGGATGCATGGATAATACTTTGCATGCTTTCATTTTTATTTTACCACAACACTGGGGACAACGTTAGTGACTAAAGGAAGGTTTTATCTATCAGTAAATTTTTATCTGTCTGAAGTTTCAAAATTCCTTTCACAGATGTGTGTTTTATAGTGAAAAAGGCATGTGAATTGTCAAATGTAACTTGGTGGCAGCAACTGTTAGTATCGATGGTGCCAATTCTCTTTCCCCTTTTCCATCTCCATCCATCCTTTCTGCATTTATCACGGTGCCAGCTCAAGGCATCTTCACACATTAACATGGGTATGCAAGCCATGTATTCATCAGAATAGTGCACACAGCAAGATCTGACTGGTGAACCCATTGAAATAGGGGTCTTGTGGCTGCTCTTTCTGTAGTTGCTAAGACCATATAGAAAATAACCAGCTCCCAGACTTTATTTCAAGAGAGCTTTGACCCTAGGAGAATTCTTATACAACCCTGAAAAGTTGCAGGAGGCACAGGTGTAAAGGTGGGTTTGCTGCTCCCCTTAGCAACAAATCTACCAGCTGCCCCTGCATAAAGTGAACTCCTCAACATGCAAAACAGCTCAAAACTATCATGGTGAAAGCAGGCAACCATCCCAGATGCAGAAATGTAAGAATGAGGTGTAAGCAGAACATGTCAATTGATCAACTTGAATTTCTTTTATGGCCATGTAATTCATTCCTTTTATTGCGCTTCTTCTGTTTGAAATTAGCAACATTGTCAGAAAGGAACAGTTCTCAACTTCACATGAATTTCCCCTTGAGATTATTTTGAATTTAATTTCTAACTGCTGTCAATTTGCATATTGGATTTAATAGACCTTACTCTGGAGTATAGATATTGGCCACAGGTTTGTGAGGTCATGAAACTGAAAATATTCTCCATTCTGAATACATTTTACATGCGTATACAACTTGTATATAAAAGTCTTGAGTTTTTACATTCAAGCCAAGTGTTTTGATTCCAAGTTCAGATTGATTTGCATTACTGACAAAAGGAAGTAAGACTTTGCATTTGAAGTACAAAAGTATCAGATGAAAGCTGTGCCCCCCCCCTTTTTTTTTACACAAGCAGTAGGGAAATGGGGTGGGCTAATGGGTGTAATGATAAAATCACTTTTAAATCCTGTGCTTTCCCCCTTTCATTCCTGTGATAATTTATAACTCGGTGTGGAATCCGAGACACAGCAAGCTGTGCCAAAGGGTCTGGCAGGGAGAAGCAGAAGTTACAAATTTTAATTTCAGCCACTAGGTGCTGGTTTTTTATGCCTGTGTTATTCACTTAGATATTTTTAAAGACCACGTTGGCACAAAAATATTTCTAGGGCTATATGAAATATTTTTTTTCAGAAAGGAGACCATGCTTAACTTTTCAGACAAGATTAGCTATTCATTTGATAACTTGCTTCAAGCAAAAATACATGGTTTACATGTCCAGATTTGATTTAGGTTCAAAGGGCAAAAAAGAAACATAGTACAGGCAGGCCCCAAGTTATGAACATATAGGTTCTGTAGGTTTGCTCTCAAGGTGAATTTGTTTGTAAGTCGGAACATTCCCATTTTTAAAGTGTAACTTTTATTCGTTTTGGATAGCATAGGAAAGGGTTAATACCCCTGTGGTGTTTGTTTTGCTGTCTGTGCCCCTGTTCAGAAGATTTTACTTTACTTTCTGTCCCTGTGCTAATTGGATATTGAAAATTTTGCCTTGTTGTGGAAACAAGGATTAGTGATAAAGCTTCAGTTGAGACAAACACCTTTTTCCTTTCAGGAGTGAATTTCCATTCTGAGAGGTAGATTTCTCTTACTTCCTGTTGACTCACCTCAGTTTTAAGTCGGGTGTTTGTAACTTGTGAACTGCCTATCGTCCTCTTTACTGACTTGGTTGTACATTTGATATCTATGTGAGTTTGATACCTCCTTTCCCAAGAGTTTTTTTCAGAAGAACTGTAGGCAGTCTTCTCAGAAAAATAGACTCCCAATGGCTATTTATTTATTTATTTATCGTATCAGAAGCAAACCAAGAGTGCAGTTGCAATGTATTCAAAAAACACAAAGTTTAAAAACTGGGCACTGTATTGAATGTCCCAATACCTAGGGGGTTATAACCCACCCACCCACCCCCCCCCAATTAACTTTTCCATGTTGAGAAATACAGAGATGTCAACAACTTTTCATTCCTTGGTCACGTAAAGATCAGAACCTTGGTTTCCCAGAATTACACTCAAACTGCTACACCACGTTCGCTCCCTATTATCAGACATAATCAAAATATAAAACGTGAACAAATAATAACATAGGTGAGCAACATAAATAAGATTTTGCTCCAATCCAGTTAAAGCATATCATGCCTTAGATTCCATCAAAATCATTGTGATTATAAGTGGATTAAGGCCTTCATTTTTCAAGACCACAGAGACTTTGGCAGGGTGGTAGTGTACCTGCATACATAAAATTCTGATATGTCTGTCAGGCATTTTCTCATCTTCTTTCCCCTTCCACCCCCTCCCTTCCCATACTAGGACATCGTCAGAAACTAGATGAACAGACAAAGCCTGGAAGTTTGTCCTTTTCAGAACGTCTGAGTGAACTGGAGCAGTTGCGTCGCACAGCCATAAGAGTCAGCCCACACCACACAGCCCCCACACCCAACCCAAGAGCTTCCTTGAACCACACCACTGCTTTTAACCCACAGCCTCAGAGTCAGATTCAGGGTAAGTACCTGAACTTTCCCCTATCCCCCTATCCCAGCATAGAGAATGTCATTCACTGGCCTTTCAAATCTTGAGGAGCAGAATCTAGTCTGGGGGTTGGGGTTTCAGGTTGTTTTCTGTCAATGAGTTCTATTTGACATCCAAACTATAAACAATATCACAACTGTATAGCAAAAATATGTATAGCAATAGTGAATAGGCCTCAAATAGCACTTAGGAGGGAGCTTCACAAAACAGCCAGTGAAAACCTAACAGCCATGTTTCCTATAGGAAGATATTTTCAGGAAAGGAGTTTTGAGCAGAGATGCTGTAGTTATAGAATATACTAGGTTGCATTCAGAAGCAAATAGTGTTATAGAGCAGCAGTTGCCAAATCCGTGCTTCAAGATGATGTTGGAGATCAATTTAGAAATCCCCAGAATTTCTGACCATTGGAAATGCTGGCTGGAGCTCCTTGGAGTTGAAGTAAAACATCAGCTGGATACAGAAATGTGGAGACCACCACTGTAACATTCCTCATAAATGAAAAACTGTCTGATCCATATTAGGCAAGAGTTACATCATAACACCTTCCTTTGGTTTTAACTAAGACATGGGATGTTGAGAAAGCTATTGAAGAGATGAATGTACAAAGAAAGACAAGACAAACTTTTCAGCCATCTTATAAGATAAACATAAGAATCCTAAGTATTTTATTTTTTTTTCAGAGGGAATATTGATAATGAATAATCAGAAGACACATGGAAATGTTGATGTTCCGTCTTCCAGGAGTTTGGTTTGCATTGCCCCTTAGTTGCATAAAATAGCATCCCTTTGCATTTTCCCCAGGGTTGCTACAGTCTCAGCAGCACCCTGAAAGTTAAACATTAACAGAGGCTGGAAACCAGCTTGCAAGCCTCTTGCTGTTATTGGTCTAGAAACCGCCCTTTTTCCTGGGGATGAGATCTCCATTTTGGAGAAGCTCTCCTGCCTTCTTTAGTATAGAAAAAGCCTCAGATGTACTGGTGGCCAAGCTAGGCAGCTCGGACAGGTCATTGTGAGTACAGTTAACATCTCACCTTTGAAACTGGTGCTGAGCTCAGATAGAGAAAGACCTGCTCTTTCTAAAGGATAGTAGCTCAGGGCTGGGGCAGGGAATATTTCAGGATTTCTCTGCCATTGGGAGAGGCTCAATTACTTCATCTCCAAAACTAATCTTGAGCATGGCTAGGGGAAGACCTGCTCTTTCTGAAAGATAGCAGCTCAGGGTTAGGGTAAAAGATCCCAGGATTTTTCTACCGTTGGGGGAAAGTTAACTCGGCAACTGAAGGAAAAGGGAAAGAAAGAACATCTATACGCTTTCCTAAATTGACTGTTTGTGTTTGTAACTTCATCAAGCTGTGCCAAGTCTATCAAGGACTTTGAGAAATAAATGTTCTGTTTGATGTTCAAATCTGGACTGGCCTCAGTTGCTGGGAATCTTGAGCTTCTAAGAAAGGCACCCGCGGTTCACCCGGATAAAGAGAGAAGCACATCTTAGTTTTAACTTTATAGTGTCTGGATGTGATGGCACAGTTGACATAGCATTATGTGGAATTCAGTAGGACTTCCAAGAAAGCATTGCTTTAAGCAGAAATTTTTACTGTATGGTATTATGCAAGTCTACTCAAAAGTAAATCTCATTAAGGTCTGTTAGCCCTTCTCTTAAACTAGCATGTGTTTTGTCACTATACCATTTACTGTAAGCAATCGTTTGGGCTGATTTTGAATTATACCCCTCCCCCCCCCAGCAGGTTTACCTGGCAGTTAGGCTCCACCGGTGGCACAGCAATTTACTTCCATCTTATTATCACCACGATATGCTCTAAAGAGAGCAGAATGTATTTTATAACTTCTATTTTGCCAGGAGGCATCTTGGTTCTTGCACAATTCCTCCTGGAATTCCAGAGCATATATTGCACACCAACCAAGAAGCCTTATTTTGCAGCTATCTGTCATCGCAAAAGCATTTGGAATTAAGTAGTTGAATGATTTGATTAAATACCCTGATCTCTAATGTATATTTTACAAAGGTTTTAAACACATACATAATTAAGCATGTCTGAAATTAGGGTGAATGGCATATGGCCCTTTCTAAGAGAGCTATTTTTCTTCAGTCTAGAAGGATATGATTCAATAAGCTTCCCACCCTCAAGTTTTTCAACAGGACAGTTCACATGGAGTTTAAAACAGAATGTTATTTGAAACTTTTCCTTTTTAGCCAAGTTTAGTAGCATAAGTGGCAGTTTCTTCCCCTTCTTTTCCTTCTCTGCTCCTCCTTATATCTTATTTTACTACTTTGTTGTTGTGTGCCTCAAAGTCATTTCCAGCTTATGGCAACCCTAAGATGATGAGTTTTCTTGGCAAGGTTTGTCCAGAGGGGGGTTGCCTTTGTCTTCTTCTGAAGATGAGGGAAATCTAAGGTCACCCAGAGTAGTGTTTATCAACTTGGGGGTCAGGACCCCTGAGGGGATTGAAAGGGGGTGTCAGAAGGGTTGCCAAAGACAATCAGAAAACACAGTATTTCAGAGTGCTCTTTGATTGCAGGTGAACGATAAATCCCAGTAACTACAACTCCCAAATGTCGAGGTCTGTTTTCCCCAAACTCCACCAGTGTTCACATTTGGGCATATTGAGGATTTGTGCCAAGTTTGGTCCAGATCCATCATTGTTTGAGCCCACAGTGCTCTCTTGATGTAGATGAACTCAAGGTCACTGCCCACCAAGCCCTTCCAGTATTTTCTGTTGGTCATAGGAGTTCTGTGTGCCAACTTTCATTCAATTCCATCATTGGTGGAATTTAGAATGCTCTTTGATTGTAGGTTAACTATAAATCCTGGCAACTACAACTCCCAAATGTCAAGGTCTGTTTTCTCCAAACTCCACCAGTCTTCAAATTTGGACATATCTGGTGTTTGTGCCAAATTTGGTCCAGAGAATGAAAATACATTCTGCATATTGGATATTTAATCACGATTCATAATAGTAGCAAAATTACAGTTATGAAGTAGCAACAAAAATAAATTTATAGTTGGGGTGTCACCACAACATGAGGAACCGTGTTAAGGGGTCATGGCATTAGGAAGGTTGAGAACCACTGGCCTAGAGGATTTCTATATCTTAGCAGATATTAAAATTCTGATCTCCAGAGTTGATGTTCAAACCAGTATATCATTCTACTAGGGATGTGAATAATCTTTGTGCATAAAAATGGCAGAGGAGGTGTTTTTACTGCAAGTCCTTACTGGAAGATAATAGGTTTTGCTGCTTTTGTTTTTATTTGTCAAAGAGCAAATTGGCACATTTTCAGAAGTTGTTTTGAAAAATGTAGTAACTCTTACCTTGCAGTAAAAGTCATAGCACTAGATTGGTTGTTTGTGTCTTTGCAATCTATCAGGGTGTCCCATTGAGCTTGTTCTGTCCCTGTTCTCAGCTTTAGAGGTGGGAAACGACAGTCATTTTGCACAGATACACAGCTTTTATCTCAAGTATATCTTAGAGAAATAAAAAAACATAAGGGGGAGATGAAATGTTTGGCATCTTGATCTTTTGCTTGAGAGAAGATTTCACAAGGGGATTAGAGAGTCCTTGAGAAGCTGTTTCATCATGCCAAGTCAGCCAGTTTCAGTTTCAGCAATGGAGAAGATCTCTTCACATTCCTAGTTGTAGCTGTAGTTTCTATTAATTATCTATATTTATTTTAATGATGGCATGGCTCTACATCTGTAAGATTTGAGAAGAACTCTTGATTATAGGATGATCTGGAGATCTCTCATTCATAAGATGACTATATGTTAACAGCAGAACCAAAACATTAACATGATTTCCATTTTTTTAAAAGACAAAATTCCTGTCTATTTTACAGGATGTGGTAGGAAGGAGGAAGTTGTTATCCATCTAGATAGTCCAGCCCTTGTGATGATCTCATTTCATTCATAGCTGTATTTCATATGACAGGCTCATAAAGCATTAATTGCCAACTTTGGTGGATTCAGATCTAATGCAAGATCATGCTATGTACTAGTGACAGTTCAAAACCTACACCACAGGCAAACAATAGCTTTGAGCTGCTGTGCTGCTTTTACTTTCTATCTGCCAAGAGCTCATAGTCTTAGTAAAGGTAAAGGTTCTCCCCTGACATTAAGTCCAGTCGTGTCTCATAGTCTTAGATTTAGAATTTTTTCCTATGTCCATAGCAAAACAACTTCTCAAGGCAAATCAATGGCCTTGTAGTTTGTCACCTATTAATGAATTCAGATATAATAATAATAATAATAATAATAATAATAATAATTTATTTATACCCCGCCACCATCTCCTCTCTGGGGACTCGAGGTGGCTTACATGGGGCCAAGCCCAGACAACAAATTACAGCAAAATAAAACTGAAAATGCAAACAATAAACAACATCATAATTACATAACACATATGAATACATCACAATATAAAATTACAATAAACATAATCACAATGACAGTGGGTGGGCTACATGTAGTGATTAAAGGAAAACTCATTAAAAACAGATAAAAAACTCAAGTGAGATAGGAGAAGCAGGTTATTTGCGGACGAGATATAGTGGCAAATATCATTAGCATAACTGTGATGTGCCAAAAGGGCTGAAATTATGGTTTCACAAGTTACTTTATCAGTTCCCAGTGTCAAGTTTTGCATTTGGCATTAAAATAGCTATGATTTGTCAGAACAAGTGACAGGACCATTCAGTTGAAAGACACCACCAAACCAACCCATTGCTCAAGTGTGCCAACTTCGCTGCAGAATGCAACAATCAGATCCCTGAGTCTGACAGCTGGCCATTCACTTTAGGCTTAAATACTTTCTGCAGAGAACCCATTACACCCTAAACCAGTGTGTTTCACAGCCAGTCACCTTGCAATTCTCCTAATGTTTAGCCAGAATCTGTTTCCTTTCCATTTCAACCACTGGCTCTAATGGTAGTCTGAGAAAGAGATAAATCTGCTCCT